AGTGGCTAATGAAAATATAAAGAAATGATAAAAACGATTTTTGTATTTATCCTAGGTTTATATTTTCTCTCGAGTGAAAATAACGTAACCTATCATCATTCACATGAGCTTTGAGCATCGCATGTGGTATTCATAAAAAGACCTCTTCTAATCTCATATGTTGAACCGAAACAACCAGTTCCTATCACCTCGTTCACAAGCATCAACTTTATATCAAATACATATAGAATATAAGCTTTGTATCACATGTGATGCACGGGACAGGGATAGGGTTAAACTCTGATACTAACATTTGGTAACTGATCTTGCCAATCGACCTTTGATTTTTTGCTTGGAAGATGACAGAGTAGTATGTAACCATCTAGTTATTTTAACAGTATTTGCATGTTCATTTTGTTACACAACTGTTTTATTGTACCAAAATGTATGTTGGTTGTATTTTTGATCTTAAAATTTATTAATGTCTTCTGAATATTTGAACTGGTGCTATTCTACGTTGACATTATATCACAGAACAAGAAACCTGATAATCAATATTATTTTAATAGCCACACCTTCCTTGTTTCTGGAGTAGAAAGAAAATCTACTTTCTATAAGTGCTCGAGTTATTAGTTTCTTTTATGATGTGTCTATTTTTATCCTACCTTAGTTTTGTGAATTGACTTGAAACTTTGTTTTTAATAACTATTCCATTATCTCAATTCCCTGCAATGGCCAGAGCACGCGTAGCCCATTGTTTAACCTTGCACTAAAACAAACAAACCATTATCAAGGAAGTTTTGTAGTTATTTGCACTGTTATGATTCCATACAGGTTTGCCATCTGTTGATCATGCTTTCAAGTAATTAAACTAACAAAAATTTTAAATTGTTTTTTATTTTTATTTTACCAGGAGATTGACGCACTGACAAAAACGGAGTCTAATGATGCATCAGAAATGGAAGAAGAACCAACTACAAGTGATGGTAAGCAGAGTGGTGAGACTGAGACTCAAGAAGAGCATCCCATTCAAGAAACACCAAGTGGAGATAACCCTCCTCAAGAGAATGGTATAGGAGATTCTGTGATGGGTGAAAATCAAGATGTTCCCCATACAAGCCAGATGGCTCATACAGAGCAGTTTGCTGTGTCGTATCGTAAGTTTCATATATTTTCATCAGGCTACATGCAATAAAACCAAATTCTTTACAGTATCTTCTTTCCCATCACAACTTGCTTTTAATTACATTGGACTTAATGAAATTCAAACTTGGTTGATTAATGTTTCTTAACACTTGCATTAAATTTTGAATTGCAAAATATTTAAAAGTTTTTCACTGTTTATCTGAATTGTAAGACTGATAACCCTTGGGAAATTTAAAAGAAAAGTACTATTTCTGCATGATGGTACAGAATTCCAAACTCTGATAGCAGTGATTTAAATAGGGACACGTATGTGACAATGGCAATGAAAGAGGTGAAGTGAAGTTTCGGGTCTCAACCTCAACTTGGGAAGGCACCAGTGGTGTTTTCATACTTGTTGCTACTAGTAATAGGATTATTCTTCTCTTAGAGTTAACTGTAACTAATTAATTATTTTGTGGGCTAATCTTAATAGATATAAATATGTAATATTTAAATTTTTTTTCTTTTCAATTGTGTTTTAATTTGAAATATCAAAATTCATTTTAATTACATATAACAGTGTTTTTATTTTAACTGTTTTAGAAAAGTTTAAAGATGCTCGATTTGGGTGAAATTGGGGAGTTTAAGCCCCCGAGCACCTGGATCAACAAAATTCACAGATGGCCACTCTACACTAAAAAAATATTTATTACTTAGTTTAAATTCCAAAAGTTGGTGAAGCTAGTAGCCATTAGGCCTAACATTTGTGTTAATCATGGACATATTAAGTAGAATGTGCAAAAAAAAGTCATCTGTTGTTTTTGTGATTCTTTTGTATTATTACATCCAACGAGCACTACATCATTTAGTCTAAGGGCTAGGTACCACTGACTGCTTTAATTTGTGGTCTACTTTTAATGATATGGTAAACATAATACAGTAACCAGGCCACTTATTTCTCAGCAGAAATTATTTATTTATTTGGTAACATTCTACTTTTCCTAATAAGTTTAACTCACAATTGAAATTAAAAATTTCCAAAATATGAGTTATAAATTTTGTCTCAGGTTTTGGCCATTGGCCACTTACTTTTTCCACATCTGGTCATTTCCAAACAAGGTTGTATACCATGCTTTAGGAACAGTATTTCTAACCATGCTGCTGACAAAACTGCACCGTAGAGGCCAGATGATGCGAGTCTAGCTGGCTTGCTCGTGAGCTGATTGCCTTGGCAACCATAGAAAAGAATTAAAGTTGTCCTCTTACTCTCCCTATATACAATTGCACTTGAAACACTGAATCTTGTTAATCACAACTTTAATAACCTTCTGTACTCAGAATCCTGCAATATAAGTGACTGAAATGTATATATCACATATATGTTGATACTTGACAATAATAATTGAAAATTTTTCTTCAGAAATATGTATGAGTAAAAATGGAACACTAACCAGCTACTTGCTAGTTTTCTAGCATTCATTTTAAGCCCAGTGTTTACTGTCTATACATGGAAAATTCATTTCATTGCCCCTCGGGCATTAGTGGTGGTCAAATTTGGAACACACATTACTAAAAGTAATTACTTACAATCGTATCAGTAAGTGATTAATAAGAATTAATCTATTTGTCTCTTCCTGTCTCGAAACAGTGTGTCAGTGATTAAATTAGACCCTCAAAAGAACTGAATTTGTAGCTTTCAGGAAAAATATAATTATTTAGAAAACAAAACAGAATAATGCTATGTTTAGACTGAACATGTGTAGTTATGTGTATTGGTGGCTTTGAATCTTTATAGTGGAAATTTCTATATGCAAAGAATTAGATATCTATAATTCCTGTTCATACTAACTTTAATATATCAAATAACCTTAGTTGATGTAATATATGAAAAAAAGTTATCGGTGATTTAAAAACATATATCAAAAATAACTTAAAACATCCAGGTAAAATTTGATTACCTTTTATAAATGTTTGCAGCATCAGGCAGTCTGTGGCATCAGTGCTATGATGAAAACAGTGGTTACTCGTATTACTGGAACACACAGACCAATGAGGTTACGTGGGTTTGTCCTCCAGAATATGCCAATTATATTGCTGCTTTAGAAGCAGCTGGTTTCTTAGCCAACGAAGGTACTGTGGTTTCCAGTAGCGATACATATCCACAGAAGCCACCAACTGCTAAAGAAAAGAAAAAGAAGAAAAAAGAGAAGAAAATTTCGGAAGAAGGGTATGCTTTTCTATAATTAAAAGTTTTATGTATTTGTAAAAAAAAAAAGTATATTCATTTCAAGAAATGTATCTGATTTTATCTGTAATGTTAAATATATTGTGTATACAGTTCTTCTGAAAAGCTTTATCGTTCCACATTCTGAATGGAAATCATCCAGTTTCTCTGAGCATCACAGTAGAACTTTGGGAAGCAAGTAGAAATTATTAAAATATTTCTTGTGAAGTATTTAGTTGAGGCAGTAGGCCCGGTATGGCCAGGCGGTTATGGTGCTTGACTCGCAATCTGCAGGCCAAGGGTTCGAATCCCCGTCCCACCAAATATGCTCGCCCCTTCAGCAGTGGGGGCATTATTATGTAATGGTCAATACAACTATTCGTTGGTTAAAAGAGTAGCCCAAGAGTTGGCGGTGGATGGTGATGACTAGCTGCCTTCCCTCTAGTCTTACATTGCTAAATTAGGAACGGCTAGCGCAGATAGCTCTCGTGTAGCTTTGCACGAAATTCAGAAATACAGACTATCATTGAGGCAATAACCATGTTTTTTGTATGTAGTGAAATGTAATAGTTTTAAGTTTTTAATGTTTTTATAATAAATAGAGAGTTGTCATATATAATCTGAGAAATATCTTATATTTTATGGCATCCAAAGCTAAGTCGTGTTATTAAAGTAATAAAAATATAAATTTTTTAAGGGTAGTATCCTCAAAATTGTCTGAAGGAGTAAAATCAGATCAAGAGGGATTTGAATGCTTGATTTTGCTTACTCCAGCAGATGCTTTAATAACTAAGCCAATTTTGAATTTCACAAGCCTAAATTTGTATTCTTTTGGGTGTAAAAATATAATGAGGTAAAGACTTGAAATTTGTAAAGTCCTGAGGTTAGCCAACAAAACGAAACTTAAGATATTTGTCATTCAAGTCATGCTACTGTAAATGGCTAAACCTTCTGTCCTGTAAGCATAGTCATGGGTTTGAATACTCGCTGTTATCAGTTTTCAATTTTCATAAAATGATCTACATTATGAGTGTTACAAAGTTACTGTAAAGTCAGATTTTATAAGATTTCGTAGCTGTATTATTTAAAAAACTTAACAAGTACAGATAATTGACATCACATGTTAGGATGAATTCAGAGATCAGTATCATTATAAAAGTTTTTTATTTTTCTTGGCTATATAAATAAAAGGAATATATATTATTTGTTTTTGATTAATGGTATCAAATACGTGTAATGATATTTTGAGCTCATTCCATTTCCTTAATCCGAATACATCTGGTAGAGTCGGTGCCAAAAGGAAGTACATACAAACTAGTTATAGTGTGAATAGGCATCTAGCACAAGAATGAGTCCCTGTGTTAAGAATCATTAATTTCACTTTAGAAATTCTGTCTCAAATGTTTTAAGCTGCAAAGAAACAAGCAAGAAATTAGTTAAAAACTAAAAATTCTTATTGATATTATTGTTGAAAAAGTGCTTATTGCTAGTATAAGCTTATAGACCACGACCAAGGGTTAAAATATTAGTATTTTCACAGAAAACCTTAAAACATCTCGTTTCACACACCAAGACTGAAACATGAAATTCACTTTATGATAATTGTTATGATTATTTCAATTACTTTGAATTATTTAATAAGCTAATGATATGGGAAGTTCAAGAACTTTATAGTAGTATAAACTGTTTTACTGCAACTTTTATAAAGTTATGTAGCAGTGGGTTTGATTCTTGAATAGACTGAAAGAACATGAGGGAATATGGTTACAGTTTTTGTGATTTCAAGTCATTGTGGTGTGGAAGACTTATTTTGACTTTGAGAACTGGTAGTCCGTTTTTTTTTGTACTGTCAAATACAAGAGGACTTTACGTATACTTTCAAAGTTAATTATTTTTATTTATGTAAATAATTTCCAAGTACATTAATTTTTTTTATAATTTACATCAGGAAAGTTATCCCGATAACATCATTTGGCCCACCATCATCAGACTCATCATCAGAAGAAAGTGAAAGTAAGCCAAGTGTCACCAGAAATAAGAAGAAGAAGCCAATAAGAAAGCATTATGGTCCTGAACTTCCAAAATCAGAAGCACCATCGGTAGCTGTCATTGGACCCCAGTTACCTTCTAACTTTCTTGTAGCAAAACCAGAAATTAACTCTGAATCACCAGTAGACGTCTTGGATCAGACCTGTAACGTGCAAGCTGTATGCGGACCAGAACTCGTAGAAAACAACGTTTCTGGTGTTTTAAAAGAATATCAGAAAGAACCAACTGACAAAAATGCAGAAAATAACAAAATTGTTCTCAAAAAGAAAGTAAAGACCAACAAAAAATCCAAGAAACTAGTTGTACATGGGCCCAATCTTCCAGAAAATACCTTTTTTAATAATACAGAACCAAAGAATGTTAACAATTCTTATAACAAGCCAGATAATGAATCTGAAACTTCACTCGGCACTTTTATTGAAAAAGGACAAGAAATCAAAAAGTCAGCTAACACTTTAACAACTAAATCAAACGAAAATGATACTGCTAACTTACATGAAACAAAAACGTTACTCGCCACACAAGAAGCAAGTTACGTACCAGATAGCCAAGAAAACCATTCTAAACTTATTTTTCCTTCAGCTACTTACCTTGCTGTAGAAGAAGGTGATATAGCAAGTAGTTCATGGACGTTGCCCAAAGTGGAATTTAAAACAACAGAAGATACCTATGAACCCGACTCCACTACCAAAGTTACAAGTAAAGACCCCGTGAAGAAAACACTGACTAAGATAAACCATATGCATCAGGTAACTTATAATTGATATCTGTGTGTAAATATGATTTTTATATTTATCTAGACATTTTTCTAATGTATGCACTGTTAAAAAATGTAATAATGTAAGAGAATAACACCTTAATACTTAATTTTATGTTGGTATTGTTTCTTCCTGTACTGTTAGACTAGAATCAGGGTGAGGAATCTAAACCAACAGATGAAGACGTTGCCATCAAGTTTTAAAACAAGTGGGCAAGGAAATATCTTTAGATGAAACGTAAAATTTATGTTTCTGTACTCTGAAAATTTCATGCTAAACAACTAAAAGTCAAAGAATAAAAATTGGCACCTGAAAAAGTAACTTCAAGAATTTCAAGTAGTAAAATAGTTTAATTAGATTGTTCTTCTTTAGTTACACTGTATTTTAGTTAAATAGAAAGACAACCTGCCAAAAATATGTCTACAGTATACTCTACTAGGACTGAAAAAAATGATGCATTAAAACATATTCTGTTTTATCACTTTAGCATCCTTTACAGTATCTATTTTTAAACTATCTTTGTTAATTTGAAGACTATATTTTTATACGATAATTGATCACTGTCATAATGTTGTTTATTCCAATCTCTGTGTTTTCTTAGTGTGAAGTTTTTTATATCTGCAGAATTTCTCATACTGTAACATTCATCGCAAATGTTCCTTTCTCACTTGTTGCCAGTTCTTTCAATCTTGACAGATGTCTAAACCTGCTATGCTTTTGACTCCTGCTTGATCATTTTTGCTGCTGTACTGAGTACATTATCAGTGGCTTGGAGATTCTTAAGGACCATATTGTGCAATAGTGGTCACTAGTGTACTTGGCTGACTTTCCAGTGTTGTCTAGAACTTTGTTTTCTCATAAAATCATAAGAAACAAAATATCAGTGATGATTAAAACATCAACTCATTCAGTATGAAGACAAAATTTGTAGTATGTCTTTTCAGCACAGTAAAACATGCCTGTAACAGTCATATGTTCTCACAACAGAAATCATTATACATCTGCCTCACTAATGACGTGTCAATATTTGAAGTTGCATCAAAAACCATGTTATATGTTTGTCCCCTTTAAATTTTTTCTGTACTTTCTTTAACAAATAGAAACAAACTGTTAGCCCTACTGAGAACTGTGTGCATCAGTATTTCTTTCTTCAAGTGAGACTCTTTTTATAAATTTTATATTTCAGTTTAAAGGGGTTGTAATCTAATTACAAGCTTTCTGAGTAGTATTCTCTGTTCACTTAGACTGTAGTAATATCTTAAATTGAGTTTTATATTATTACAGATAATGTCTAGGTAGAGTCTTGATAAGCAGGAAGAAAAACTATTCTTGAAATGTATTTTTCATTGATAACCTGTATCTAGAGTTTGCTGTGGTTTCCTATGCAATCCTGATTAACATGTTACTGCTAAATATATAGGTTTAAAAGTAATGTATCTGTTGATATTCTACTAGTCTGTTTAACTTTTTTTTTTTCAATAATTGATTTTGAGCTTTTATTTCAATTAAAGGCAAAAAGAGTGAGAAACCACACAAAACTTATTTTACTAAATTCACTAGACTAAAACAACTTTTGTATGAGCATCATCTTCTGCTAGTTGGGGTCATCTTATGAGGATTTTTTTTCACAGGCATGAGCCATGAAAAGCATGGTTCATTGTGTGGTTGATCTGGAAATTTGGACGGAAAATTTTATGCACATTTTCATCTAATATTTTAACCGTGTCTTCAGTTTTTATTACACTGTTAACTTATTGTGTTTCTAAATGTTTGAGGTTTAGTTTATAGTCTGCATTTGCAGAAGCTACCCATCTAGAAACTACACCAATTATTATAGAAATTTAACTGAAAAAACTAGAAACTACACCAATTATTATAGAAATTTAGCAGAAAAAAAAGTTTACAACGAGAGTGTGTCCTGTGTATTAAGTTCCGAAGAAGTTATTGTTGGGTTTTTTGGTTGTTGGCAGGTTTATAATGTAATAATTTCCAGTATTGAACAGTAACTGAAAAAAAACAAATATTGTAAATGCATACGTATATCATGTGGTTGTTTTTTCTATGCTGTTAAAAAAAGGAAATATGAAGCTATATTTAAATATTATTTGCTTAAATCCAACAGGCCCTCAAACCGATTGTCCAGTATGGTGGATCTGACAGTGAGAGTGAGCCAGAGGAGGGAACACTAGCTCCAGCAGTAGACTCTGGAGGTTTTAATCTTGCTCAGAGCGGTAGACTGGGATTTGGATTTAAAGAACCCGAGTTTCCAGTAGACAATAATATTGTTGCTTATAAAGATGAGAACAATGACTATGATGAAGCCCAATCACAGAGTAATTTCCAGATGATAAGCTTTGTGAAGTCTGACGAGGTATTAGATTTTAGTAAATTAACACAGAAGCCAGAGTCCATCATATCAACTGAAAATTCAGAAACTAACGAGTTAATTGAAGAGCCAGAATCCAGCAAGGTAACTGTAAAGGTGAAATCTACCAAGCTAACTGAAAAGCCAGAACCCAACAAAACCACTGAGCAAAGAGAGCTCAGTGAACTAAACGGTAGTTCAAACCTCAAGTGTGAAGTGACAGAAGCACAGACTAAACCAAGTGAGACTACCATGGACATAGACGTTGATGAAATAGACAGGGCGTTGGAAAGAGCATTTGAAGAACAAATGGTTGGTGTAAAGTGAAGCAATGATTGACATTAATCCATTTTGTATATTTCTTGTTTTCTTTACCTTATTCATGTTTTATTTATCTTAATCATTTATACTACATATGAGATCTTACTTTAATACAAGCATTCATCTAAACTGAATGGATTGATTTTCTTCGTTATCCAGTTTTTACAAATTTGATATAGTGTTTCCCTTATTATTTAGTGAATTATAGTTTCATGTAGTTGGCTATGAACAATAATAAAATTCAAGAAAGCTCTAAACAACGATTTATAGACTTGTAGTGAAATAAAAGCTTAACTTTTGTGTAAGATATTTAGTTTTGTGTCCTTTTAATTCCACTGACAATTGTACTTGTTAATAAGTGGGTTTTCAAGACTTGTGATGTGAAATGGCTTTGAATGTAGAGCAAAAGATTTACACATGCCACCGTTGAGTTAAAATTTGTTCAACCAGCAACTTTACTATTTAGTAGGTACAGATAAGAAATTGTTTGACATTTTACTCCCTTGTTTATTGATTTAATATTATTCTTATGATGGGCATATGTTCGTATTACAGTTGGCTAATGCAGAGGAAATGGAAGCCTCTACATCTGGACGTCTAAAACGTTCAGCATCTGAAGAGCCAGAAACAGTTTCAAAAATGATGAAGAGTAAGTGATGTTACAGTATTAGAAATATTTAGGATAGAAGCATGCACAGCTGATCATTTTGATTTAAACATTATTAATATGGGCCAGGTGGCTAGGGCGCTTGACTCGCAATCTGAGGATCACAGGTTCGAATTCCCTTCTCACCAAACACACACTCCCTTTCAGCCTTGGGGGCATTATAATGTGATGGTCAATCCCATTATTCGTTGATAAAAGAGTGGCCCAATAGTTGGCAGTTGGTGGTGCTTACCTTCTAGTCATTCACTGCTAAATTAGGGTCACCTAGTGCAGATGGCCCTTATGTAGATTTGTGCAAAATTCAAAACAAACCAAACCATTATCAATATTATTAGAACTCTGTCATAGTGATATATTTTTCATTTTATTTAAATAACATTTAGTGACTAAAGATTATTTTAATTTGCCATTATAGATAAAAACATACTGTAATACTTGGTTAGCTACAAATTTTAACATTCATGAGATGATTTATGAGATTGAAATAATTTTTTAGAGCTTGGTATAAATAACTTTAATGAAAAATGCTAAAAATAATGTAGCAAAGAAAAAAATTTTGAAGACATTTTCAGCACGATAAAAGGTAAAGTCGTTAATAATAATAACAACTATAATATTTTTGATTGAAAAATACATTGAAATTAAATATTTGTCACTAGTGCTCTCTAACATGAGAATAAGTCAATTTGAGTGTTATCACTCATCTCTCTCTCTCTTTTTGTTAGCTAAATATATTTTAAATTGTAGGTATAAATGAGAAATATAATTCAGTGATTGGTAGAAAATTAAAGCAGAATTGAATAAATGCATTGTTTAATAAAACTGAAGGACTCGGTAAAGTTAATTGATTGTAGTCAGAATGACACAAATGAAAATGTAGATTTTTAGAACCTTTTAATCATAAACTATGAAGAATTCATTGTGAAAAACACACTAGTAAAAAAACTTTGTGGTAGCATTGTCTTAAAATGCAGGTATGTAAGATTACTTCACTTTAGTATATGAACATTTTAATAAGAATTAAATTTTGGAAAATGTGTTTTATAAAACATATATATTTATTAGGGCTGATACGATATGTATAAAGTTAAATTTAGTGTAAGCAAATGTAGTTTCTTGCTACAATTTGAAGTAATTCTAGAAAGAAAAAAAAAGAATAATTTTTGATTTATTTTGTATTTTTTATGGTGGTTACGAGACTGGTCAAACTGACCGACTTCACATAAAATTATAGTAGTGAATATAGCAGATAAAATATAAAGATTTATCATAGAAAATGTTGGAAATTTATTTTGGAGGTTTTAGAAATTACACAAAAGAAATTTCTTAATTTTTGGATGGAGAAAAGTATTATTAATCTTAACATGAAAATCGCTTTACACTCGGAACAATGACTGCTTTTACTCCACATATTAAAACATAAATTTTTAGCAAAAATACTTTGTTAGAAGTTCAGATTTTTTTTTCTCTACAAAAGGCATAATGTTTACTGAAAGCTTGCCAAATTTTGTGAAAATACATAAATTGTATTGTATTGGATGATGTATCGATACAATCATATCATGGCTTAATGATACAATACGTGTATTGCTGTATCGCCACACCCCTATTCCTTATACTGAAGTGAGATTTTTGTGTGCATATGTGTCTTTGAATTAGCATCTTCAACTTTGGGAATTTTGGATTCTTTTAGAAAATCATAAATTCCTGTAGATGTCAAGAAGATATATTAAGTTATGTACTGTAATTATTAATGCAGGGGGTGAGAGTTTTCCATCTTAGGAGTTTTGGGGTGCCATGACATATTAAGAGGGGCATTTCTTGTATTACTATTTAAACCATATAAAACAATTTTTTGTAGTTTCATAACATACCAGTATGTGTCAAATGTCATTTTTGTTGATTCTCATTTATTGTCCTTTTTTATACCCACGTTATCGTTTACTGTGTGGATGTATGATGGATGTTTTGTTGTGCCAATTTTCTTGAAACACAGAGATTGCACAGCACCCAAATTGATAAATCTGTGAAAATATAAATGGTATTAGCAGTGGTGTAAAGAAGGTGTTTTGGACAGTTTATATGGAAAACTGACAGTTTTTCTATTGTTTATAATGACTTTGAGTTATTGAAGCTAGAAAAATAAGTCCTATGTAATCACCATAAGAAAGATGAAAGACATGCCAGCTTATTCTCAGCAGCTAAGTAACCAAACCCATCCAGGTGCCAAACCACAGTGCCTACAAGTCCAGTCGAGAGAGCTAGGCTAAAAAAAGTGCAAGGCAAGAGAAAAGAAAATTCAGATAGCCTCTACAAACAAAATCAAGATTCCAAGCAACCAGAAAATTGATGAAAATCAGCAAGAAACCCTTCCTGAAACAAGGCTGTTGTGTTGAAGTCCAGAAAATAGTTGCAGAAATATGCAAGAGAAACATATCCACTGTCAGTTTAACAGATACCACTGCAGGAAGTGCAAGTGAGAAATCTGTGAAAAGAAGAACTGGGGAAGTGGGATTACCTCTACCAAGTGCTGGGGGAGTAACCAGCTAATTCAGACAAAAGTCCAAAAATTATAAACTAAATTAACACTGCCAAATGAAAACATAAGAAGGATTACAAATGAGAGGAAGTCATTTGGCCCATCTTCCTCATTTAGTGGTTGAATCTTATTAAACGGTTTTTACTGAAGGATCCTAAAGATTCAGTTTCAACAACGTGGCTCTTTATGTAAAGAAATGCCTTCTGTTTTTGGTCCTATAAGTATCTTCACTTAATTTTCAAATGGTCACAATAGACTTTTTAGTTTTGGTTAAGGCAATAGGAGCAAAAGGCTCTTGCATATAGCCTGTTTTTTTTGTTTTAGGAATTATTAAACTTATGTTTTTGTTTTTTTTACAACTAAAAACTTTTGTTGCAGTTATTGTGCACGATATATTTTTGTTTCTTTAGGTTGTATGTGTATACTTGTTTTGTATTTGTAGTGCAACTGTTCAAATATAAGCTGCTAATAAATTTTGACTCGCTCAGCTCGGTAGTTTACATTTTCAGTCATGGCTACTTTGATATACTCCCACCCCTGTTTTACTATAGGTTTAACATAACAGCATTGTACATTTGCTGTTATGTTAAACTTATAGTAACGTTTTTCTTCATTACCCATTCGAGCCGTCTCCAAGCATCATTAGTCTCAAAGTGGGTAAAGAAAATGTTTGTTAAATATTGAGAAATTGGTATATTGAATTTTTCAGGTGATCAACCAGACTCATCAGAAACATCAAGAGATACATGGAAGGTAAGATTTTTTCTGTTCAGTTTGTATGTTGTAGTATGTCATTTACATTTCTAGGAAATATGCTACATTTCTGTAAAAGATCAAGATAACTTTGTTCAAATGCATGCTTTCTAGTTAAGATTTGAACTCCTTTTTTTAAAATTCTAATATCAAGATGTATAAGTTTACTATGCTGTTACTTATAGATATAACTCTTAGAGATTTGCCAAGATTTTTACCTCCGTATATTATTGTTCTGTTTTTTTGTATACATGTCTATATTGTATGTTCTTACTCCTATCTTCAGTATCTTAAGCCAGTCAGTCATATAGTTCTAACAAGCCTCCATCTTTGTGGTCAGATGTTACTGCTTCTGTTTCGTATGCTTGATGCTGCAAAAGCATGCATGTTTTTTTGCTGTTATTACAAGTCTTTGCATTAAACCTTCAAGGTTTTGTCACTTTCTGAGTGCAGGTTGACAGTGAAATACCCTGGTATTGAAGTAAGACGGCTTTAGTATTCAGTTTTTTTGTGAATTAGATGTGTTATGGCTTTTCAACAGCTCCATCCAAGGACAGTTTAATGTAAATATGTGTTCTCAGTTGCATATGTATGTGAATCTTCATGCTTCTCACCTCAATACTAGCCCCCCCCCCTATTGTAGCTTTAATATTCTGTCTCACATAGCCATGGTGGCAGAGGAGGATCTGAGATAATATTTATTAAAAGGGGCTTGCTTGTTTGTAATAGGTTATAGGCTTTGCTTTTTGGGATGATCAAAAATTCAGTTTTTCATAAGATACTCAAAATTGTTCTTTGTTGTCACTTCTAAACATGTTTTTCATTACTTTCAATAGATACACAATGCAGTATCTTTGTGTTTATGTCAGTTTTTGGTTTATGTTGATATGTAACTGTGCTTTTTTTTTATTTATTTATGTGAAATTTTTGCAATTTTTCTCCCACATTTTCACTTAAAAAAGTTAACAAATTTCTCTGTAAAGAAAAAAAAAAAGATTTAGTCCTGACTTATGATTGATTCCTAAATATATGTAAGCTTAGTGATCATGAAGATTAAGAATGTTTTCATTCTGTAACCATAGGATATTCCAGACTTGATTCAAGTGCTGCTGGACAAACTGGCTTTCTTGGATCCTACAAGATCATGTGTATCAAGTCTTACACACGTGCTTATCCAGTTAGAGGTATGTAGATTACTGGGAAATCTTGCTCACAAGGCTTCGAGTTAGCTGTGGTTTTTGGAAATCGATGTGCTTTTTAAGGACTTGATGTCGATTTCTGGTTTTCAAACACATAAATAAAGCAATTTAACATTTCGGCCAGGTCTCTGCTAATTGTAATTTGGTATTTTTTAAATTCAAGTTTTTTCCATGATCTTTAGCAGTATGATATAATGCACGTTGTGAAAACTTAACATATTTAGTTGTACATCAAAACCTTATACATTTACGATGTTGTTATACATTTAATTTATATTTCATCTTCATAAACATTGTTTTTATGCTGTATTTTATGTACCATTCTATTATATTTAAACAGTAAAATGTGTCAGACTGAGTTATGGTAAGGTACATTGTTGGAGTGGTTTGACGGTCTTTCATTGGTCATATGTTAGAGAAGATTATATAAAGGTTTTTGTATACTTCTGCTTTACAAGGGACAGAGGATTGGTAATATTGCATGAAGCAAGCTATGTTTTTTTTTGTTGTGAGTTCTTTTCTTTTTTTATTGTTACTTTAGTCATTAGTATTAACTCACAATTTTTAGTGTATATAATATTTTTATTTACATACTGTTTATCATGATTGTTTTGCCTTGTTAGCCTAGTACTTGGATTTACTTGTCTAAGCTGGCTTGAATGTCATGAGATATTACTGAGAGTATAAAATGTAGTTAATAAAGAGGGTACCAAACGGATGAATCGATGGATTTTGGGCATTAGAAGTTTCTGTTTTATGGCTGCGTACACCTGATTTGAATGGTGTGTTAAATTATCTACATCAATTACTTGGTTAAATTTTAGTTCTGATAAATGTCGGCAGCTTGGTTTAACCCTATCTCGATGGGTCACGTGTCAAAGGCCATGTCATCCTGTTTGTTAACTTGCATTCAAAATTTTCTTGAACTACTATTTTATGAATCTATGTTAATAAGTTTGGTATCAAATTGTATATTATAACTCAAATTTTACTATTATACATTAGTTAATTTCTTAATTTAAAAATCAATATTAAAAATACACGGCTAAACATTGATTTTTGTGTGTCACGTGGTATGTTGAATGCAGCACTGGTTCAAATTAGATGTTTGTGATGTCAAAATACACAAGATACAGTTTCGTACGAATTAGGAACTCAAACTACCAATATTGACAAGCT